CCCACAACACCATCATCTGCGCCCGGGCTGGGAAGGACCTGGTCTCCAGCCTCACCTCGGGGCTGCTCACCATTGTGAGTACCTCACTCACCCATGGCGGGGCGCTGGTTTTGGCATCATGCTGCCTGGGGTCCTGGCAGGAGCCCCTGAGGGCACAATCCTGTGCTGGAGCGCTTCAGGGCACACCTACGCGCCAGATAGGTGCGTGAGACTGAAGGCAGCTCCCATCGCCAACAGCATTGTGGACTTGTTTCTCCTCCAGGGGGACCGGTTTGGGGGTGCCCTGGATGCAGCAGCCAAGATGTTCAGTAAAGCCTTCGACAGCGGCATTATCCCCATGGAGTTTGTGAACAAGATGAAGAAGGAAGGCAAACTGATCATGGGCATTGGTCACAGAGTCAAATCCGTGAGTCGTCGCTCTCAAGGGACCAGGTGTCAGGGCGGATGGTGACCAGAGCGCCCGGGTTTAGTTGGGGAACACCCACATGCCTGACTCCCAACATGCAGCATTTCCTATGTGCAGACAGATGTCAAACCAAGTTCAGCTTATTTTTCCCATTTTAAAACAGATGGCCCTTCAACAGTTTGCGTTGAAAATCCAAAATTTTGGTGTGAAAATGGATAACTTTAGTTTTCCAGAAAGCCCAGTGGCTTGCAGCAGTGAGGCTTTGTCTCCTGTTCACCCTGCAGCCATGGCTGGCTGTCACGTGAGCGGCCCCTATCTAGGCCCCTGGTCTCACGGCAGAAGGGAAACCATATTGGTGGACCCATGTAAAAGATCTTTTTTTTTTTTTACTGTATACAACAACTAGGATGTAGGCCAGAGGTGTGGGGTGGGGTTGAGAGGATTCACCAGAGACAGTGTGGGGAACAAAACAGGCAGATCTACTGAAACACACCACTGAGGGGAGCAGAAGGCAAGACAGGAGGGGTCTGCTGCACCCTGTGGATCACTCCCTGGCCTGGGATCGAACTTGTGCTGTAGCGGCTGCCCATAGCTTCATAGCACTGAGGTTCCCTTGAGCCACCAAGGAGGCCCCACATGAAAGTTCGTAAAGCTTTTGCTCACAGGTTGCGCAGCTCACTTGCCCTCACATTCATTGGCCAAAGCAAGTCAAACTACTGCTCTGGCTGTCACTGAGAGGAGTAATACTCTGAGAGAGAGCCTGATGGGAGATGCCAAGGAGTGAATATTTCAGCTAATAGTAGCCCTCTGCATGTCCTGGTAATGAGTTTTGTTGACAAATCAAAAGGAAAAAGAAGAGGGTCTTATAGGAAGAAAGACCCTTATGTCCTCAGGGTCCTTGGCTTTGCTGCTCCCAAACCTCATTCAGTCAGTCACTCCACTGGCCAGGACAAGGGTGTATCACTCACATGAATGCAAAAGGGTCAGTGTGTGACCCCAACACCTCTGTCCAGGCGTCCAAACACTCTGCTGGCCCAGGATAAGCCTCCAGAGGTTGCTGGATGAGGGCTGCATTAGGACCGGGGAGGGTGCTGGCGCTGAGGGATGTTCCACCCTGGCTTTGCGGAACTTGGCTCTCAACCCCGATCCCTGCCCCAGCGTAGGCCACCTGCAGCCTGTGTATCACACTCCATGGGAGACCATCATGGTACAGGTCCTGGCATGCACTCAAGCCACCTTTCTCCCCTACTGTGAAAGCCCACTGAGCAGCAGGGTCTCCTGAATGATGGCTCATCTCCACTTGTTGCAATTCCAGAGTCTTTCCTAAAATTTCAGGGGACTCTGGGGTGGTGGAGCACATGGCTGATACTAGAACTTTGCGTTACTTTCTAGATAAACAACCCAGACATGCGAGTGCAGATCCTGAAAGATTACGTCAAACAGCACTTCCCTGCTACCCCCCTGCTCGACTACGCGCTGGAAGTGGAAAAGATTACCACCTCAAAGGTGGGGGGGACCTCCTAGTTCCTGGGCCATCGTTTTGGGTGGTTTTCACAGGGGAAGGAGAGTCAGGTTACCTTTTGATTGTGTAGCTAAAATCAAACCTGATTTCCTGGAAAATTTTGCCTCTGTTGTGTGCATCCAGCAGACATTAGCAGAAATGTAATTAGGTGTTAGGTCCTTGCTAGACGTTGGGAATTGAACCAAGACAGCCGATCTCCTAACCAGCTGGGGTGGGCTCACTGGAGGCTTAAAATTGGTGATAAGAATTCATAGGAATACTGGGAAATGAGGAAAAATGAAAAATGTCAAATGCATTGAATAAGTTTTGCCTTTCCAGAAACCAAATCTCATCCTGAACGTGGATGGTTTTATTGGAGTTTCATTTGTAGACATGCTTAGAAACTGTGGCTCTTTTACTCGGTAAGCTTTACAGCCATTTTCTTCTTCATAATGTTTATTGACTTTTGTTATTTACTCCCAACTCAGACAGTAATACATGCTCATTATAAGGATTTAGAAAATACAGAGAGGTATAAAGAAGAAAATAGACATTGCCTCTGTTCCTGCCACCCAGAACACTTTGTACTTTTTTACTTTGAAACCAGAGAGATCAGGTTCCCATCCCTGGCAGAAATCACTTCTGGGCAGGGGGCAGTCACGCAGGCCACTTTAAAACTACAAGTTTATTGTGTGTTGCAGGGAGGAAGCTGATGAATATATTGACATTGGAGCCCTCAATGGCATCTTTGTGCTGGGAAGGAGTATGGGCTTCATTGGTGAGCACGTTGTTTTTTTAAGAATTCTCTTTCCTCTTTCAACTCCACTGTTCGGTTACACACCTTAACCCACATGATTGAGTCTGCATTGTTTTCTTTTTGTTTGTTTGTTTACGCCATTCTTCATTCTGTGCCTTTCTCCCTCTGGGTTGTCATCCCCGAGGCCTTCCCACCACCGGTTCACCCGTGTGCCATCACCAGTCCCGTGCCCCTTTCCCACCCTGAGTCTGCATTATCTTAACCATTATTCATAATCCTTCCTTTACCTGCCCTCTTGTTTTTCTTTGTTCTTAGAAATGACTTTGATTGCTAGCCTGAGAAAACAGAATTAAATCAGCCGTTCTCTTTTTCCAAGGTTCTGGAACAGATCCAGATTTACTTCCTCATTTCTTTGTATTCACATTTTCATTTCAGAAATCTTCCCCTTCCTTATCCTTCTCCTCCTCGCCAAGCTTTAACAAACTCGCCCACTCCTAACAAAAAGATGCATTGCATTTGCTCCGTTTTAGGACACTACCTTGATCAGAAGAGGCTGAAGCAAGGGCTGTATCGTCACCCATGGGATGATATTTCATATGTTCTTCCGGAACACATGAGCATGTAACAGCCAGGAACCCTGTTGCAGTAAAGCAAGACAGGAACTCCTTCCCCGGGAAATAGCGCGCAGACAGCTGGCACTGGAGATGCTCTATAGGATGGGCCTGGAACATAACAGCCACTGGTGTACAGGCACCAGGCGCCAACCCACAGGCTAACACTGTTCAGTCCATACAAAGAAGCTTCATTATTTTTTTTTATTATAAGCATAGAAATAAATACCAAGCCAATACTTGTGACATTTGCTCTGTTACCTGCTGTATTTATTTTTGGAAAACGCATTGTCAGGGTAGTGTGTTTTTTTTTTTCCTCATTGTAGGGCGTTACAATGTTGTTGGTTTTTTTTTCCATTAAAATTTTTTTTTCTTTGGAGGAAGGGAGAGAAACTTTTAAGACCTCAAAATACATTTAAAGCACCCCTACTGTCTTGTTTCCTCCTCCTCCCTTTTTTCTCATATGCCATGAAGAGCGTTGTATTAATCTGACCTTTCTGTATGTTATATGTTAAGGGTTTGTTTGGTATCACGCTAAAACATTCCATGTTGCAGACCAAAGTCTGCTTATGTAGGGGATGGGACCATTGCATCCTCAGCCATTGTCACAAAGTATGTGGAGTAGTAATTTAAAATGTAAAATTGTAACATACATATGTTTAAATGGAAACACAAAGCAAAAAGCTGTGAAATGTCTTGTGTCTTATGTTCTCTGTATTTATGCAACTGACTTGTATGTTACCTTGTGGGTCTCCAGCCAGTTTGCATCTGTAATCCACAAAGACTCTGGGCAGCTGCCACTTCAGTCTCTCCTCTGTATTATCATAGTTGGTTTAAATAAACTATATAGTAACAATGAAGACACACTGCTGTTTCAGACTATCCATATCCCCTCATCTGAACTGTGCTTCTGAACTGTGTGTAGTTTTTTTAAATGTTCACTCATCCTTCAAACAAAAAAGTCAAAGCTACCTTAAAAAACCCTACCTTCTCTAAGCCTGCACCTATTGCTCAGCGAATTCGAACCAAAGTTCTAGCTAGAAATTCCAGCTCCCAATGCAGGAACCATTCTTTCCTCTGTTTGCCTGCCAAGTCCTGTTGATTTATCCCCTAATTATCCTATGATCTACCTGTGCCTGGCCCGCTGACCAGTCTGCTGACTAGCTCCACTGTTCCCTTAACCGTCCATTCTCCAAACCACCACCACTGATAGTTGACAAGCGTATCTGAGAGCTCCGCGCCCTTGCACAAACCCAAAACTGATTTACTCCAGCACATTAAAAACAGTAACTGCGGGTCTAGCACTACGCAAAGCACGCTCGAGCATCTCCGTTCTCAGCGATCTTCAATGTCGTTAATAAAATCCCTGTCTTTAGAAAATAAGAGTTCCGAAATAAGACCACCTACTGAGTCCAGCTCTGCCTATCTTTGTGAACGTTCACTCCAGAGCCACCCTAAATCCTGAAATCCACACTCTCTCACCACCCAAGACGCTAACAGCGGGGGCGGTCTAAGCTGGCTTTCTTTGCCGCCAACTGGAAGGACGCTGGC